GTATTTGTACCGTAGCCATAAAATACATCTTCAGTTGTGCCTTCAATTAACTCAAATGTTGTTTGCTAACCAATCAGAAGCTTCCGAAGAAATTGAATAATTATTTGATCTTTTGTGCAATACCAAATTGTACTTTAGGAAAATATTAATCATTTTGGTAAATTTTTTGTCTGATTTAACATTAGAAAAACAAAGGTCACGCAGTTTATGTAACACTCATTTTTCCAACTGTATTTACATGCAAAGGTTGATATAGAACAATATAAACGGTATATCAAATATACGTTTGACATGAATGAATTTAAATAAACTAATTCATGACTACATTTGGATATGGAAGATGGATTCATAAAGAAACTCAACACAGGTGCAACATAAAGTCCATTTTCTGCTTCTCTCAACATAAAAATCCTCTCTTCCTACTAATTGTTTTGCCTTTACAGCAATTGTTTTTTACAGTTCTCAGGATCCGTGCTGTTTCCACCAGCTTCGTTCAGGTGAAATAAAACCAGTGAACTGTATCTGCCTCAGAGCAAACAACAGACAAAATAACAGGCTGATGAAAACTGAATCATTTAGCAGCTTTGGACACACACACGCTCCCCCAGGAACAAACCAAAAAACCCAAAAGCCCATCCAAGAGTGAATAGTCTACTTTAGTGCCACTAACAGCCTCCTCTCTGAATACAAAGTGCCTGCAAAGATATGGCACTGCTGCTTCATTTGTAACATGTAAATTCTATTAACAGAAACCCACTGCCCACTACTTACTTACGAGACACAAGAAGAAAAAGGTTATTTATCGAGAGACTGTACATTGCCCAAGTGTATAACTTCAATTATAATTGTGGTAGAGTTGTGTAATGGGGATGTTGCAAATGTATAGAGTGCAATCAAACACAAATTGCACATTCAACATATAGCTTTAAATACATATTGATATTTCAAATGTTAAAAATACATAATAAATATCAACTACAAATACAATATGACTAAATAGTCGTATATTCAGTATTTACACTGACCATAAAAGAAACATTGTATTGCTAATTTGTGTATTTTTAGAGTCCATACAGTGTTCCATTATTGTCCTTGGTCCATGACTCTCCACAAACTACATACTTAAAATTCCACTGTGTTTGGTCGCCCGTCCATGGACACAGCGAAAAATGAGCAAAGGTCGTTTGCGCGCCCGTCTTTACCTCTGCTGACGGACGGTTCCTCCATAATAGCAGCCGCTGTTATGAGAAGATGAAAGGCAAAGTGTTATGAGGCTGCACTAATTGGGCCTTTAATGGAACTTCCACTGCGGCCCACTAGGGTGCCTTGTTCTGGAGCGCGGACGACTGAGGCTTACGCAATTTGCTTTGTGGAGCTGTGGGTTTTAGATACAGGCCCATACATAATGATCCTTACCAACAAGAAGGGCTTTTCGACGTTCAGATCCCTTGTTAACTGAGCCTACATGGAGCGGTGGGGAGGAGTGCTTAGCAACTTTCATGTTTTTATGTATAAGGTTTGTGTTTTATAGAAGTCATTGTGTAGATCCAAAGCAATTCAATTCTGAACCCATTTGCAATTAATTCAAATCAATTCATTTTTTATAGCCCTAAAACACAATAGTAAAAATCTCAGAGGACCCCACAAAACGTCAAATTTGCCAAAACACAGTTCAGAGAATAGAGCCATCGATCCATAAGGGCGGATGACCTAAGTCCATAAATGTTGTTGAATGTCCTGTTGTCCACTGTCCTTGCACCCTCCTGAATCAGCAAGGATAAACTCTTAAAAACCTAGTGGAAACCACGGGATCCGGCCCTACGGACAGACAGGCTATACGGGCTAATTAAACCTAGCATCGACAGCAGCTCCTTCAGCCAGAGAATCATTGCTGCGAGGTGTGAGCGCTTCAGAAAGACTTTCCTTCCTGCTGCAATAAACTATTTAATGCACAGAAATCATACTCATACATTTATTTGTACTGTAATCACCAGCGTACTGAGTTGTGACTAAAGAGTAATTTCCTGTATCAGAATCAGAATCATTTTACTGCCATGTAAGTAACAGGAAAAGGATCAATACAGTTTCAATCAATCTATCTTCAAAGTATTGGAAAAATCTATTTAGGCAACCCGAGGGGTTTTCTAAGCGGAGCTGGGAGCAGACCAGCTGCTTCCACAGGAACGCTGGCCTAGGTCTCCCTGAGGAGGTGTCGGGGCAGGTGTGTGAGTGGGTTGACCTGGGAGTAGCTTAGGGTCTCTCTGGAGAAGGTTGAGGAAGTGCGTGTGTAGAAAGAAGAGTTGGGATATTCCTGCATAGACTGCTACTTCTGTGACCCAGCTCTGTAGTAGTAAGTAATCTTTATTTATATACCGCCTTTCACAGGTCAGAGTCACAAAGCGGTTTACAATTGTTATTTTTGGGCACTTGTCCTCTCACTCCACACAGAGATGGGAGCGGGGTCGCCGAACAGGAGGTGCATGCCAGACCTGTTGTACATGTTTTTAGTGGTAGGGGAAACCGGAGTACCCGGAGGAAACCTACGCAGACATGGGGAGAACATGCAAACTCCACTCAGAAAGGCCCTGGTCTGACCAGGATTTGTACCCAGGACCTTCTTGCTGAGAGGCGAGAGTGCTATCCACTCAGCCGCCGTGCCGCCGTGCCGCCCACCGTGGATACACAAAAAAATTAATGAAATACCTTTGGAAAGAAAACAAAAACTACCAAAAAGGCTCAGATGTGGCTTGGAAGTTTGTTTTTGTCCTGCTCGGTAATGGCAAAATTGTGTCATAACTATTTTCACATCAGAAAATCCACTACATTTTTGACCAGTGGACTACCAGAAAATTTAAATAAAAGTATTCTCATCTTTTAATTCAAAACAATGTGAGCGATTGGATATGTCTTTTGTTTTGTATACATTAAAGATATGATTATTCAACATATTGTCAAGCCGGGGTTTGCATCTGACATTAGTTTTTCTGTAGAATCATCCTTTCTGCAGCAGCGGTGGATCCCAGAAAATGGAGCATGAAAAACTAGACAGCCGTTGGTTGAGAGCACCCCTCTGATGTTTCTGAGACTGGGGGAAGACACTTGACTTGAAGGTGTACCACATGCTGAAATCAAAGCAATGTGATGAGATATTTTGATCCTTCTCCTGTTAGAGTTTGATGCAGATCCAGTATGAGACCGTCATACAGCTTTGGTTCCCTCTGTGCATGTCTGACAGCTGTGCACACTTCACTGTCAATTCACTGTCTCATTACTCAAAGTGGGAAATGTCATCTGAGGATATATTGTGTTTACTTCCGTGCATTACATCACCATCCTGTCACGTGTTAAACTAGTAAGCAATTCATCTTTAATTATATGGCGCATTTTACAGACCAAGGTCACCCAAAGTGCTTTACAATGTTCAGAATTCAGATAAGATAAGAGACCCTTTATTCGTCCCACAATTTCAATACATTTCAATATTGCAGCGCACAAACAGGACAGTAGTAGGAGCACACAGGAAGCACACAAAATATACAAAATAAGTAGTGGCTATGTTTCTTAGCTAGCTGTACATTTCATGGCTCCGCAGTTCTCATTGTAAAGTCTGACAGCAGCAGGAAGGAAACCCCTGCCGAACCTCTCCTTCACACAGCGAGGGTGAATAAGTCTGTCACTTAAACTGCTTTCCAGAGCAGACAGAGTGTCCTGCAGGGGGTGACAGTCATAGATATTTTTCCATGCTCTTCACAAACATGACAGAAGCGAGACTTTGAACACACTGGTGCACATCAAAGCCCCCAACCAACATCATCCATTCACTCACTCATTTCATTCAGACCCATTGTACAATTTTTTTTGGTGGTAGGGGACACTGGAGCACCCAGAGGAAACGTACGCAGACACGGGGAGGACATGCAAACTCCACACAGAAAGGCCTGGAGGGTGGAATTGAACCCTGTACCTTTTGGCTGTGAAACAAAAGCTTTAACTGCTGTGCTGCCAGGTGACTTCTTCTATCGCATTTGGATTTCCACTGGCAGCTCCTGGACCAGGTTGTTGCTGTTGTACTGCCTCTCGGTTCTCCTTGTAACATGCTCATAACATATTCAATAAATAGCATTCTGACATATAACCCATACTCCTACTTCACTCATACATTATAAATAAATATCTCTCATGAGAATACACCAAAATCCAGTGGAAAGATACCGTTATGCTTAAAAGTTGATACACCTAGGCAGATGTTTTTTGGGTATTTGTTTCATATTTCAGTAATCATGAATGATATCCCAAACGCTCATTGTGTAATGTATTGTACAGGCCAATGCACTTTTTCAAATGATAATGACAACACAAACTACTCAAGTGACTCAGAAGTAGAAATCTTGCTGTTTACATCTAGTACAGAATGCAGTATTTTGTGGTGGTTGTGGATGAGTTTCTTTATCTTCTCTGATGGTAAAGCTGTCCAGGTTTTCCCAATTCCTGAGCCTGGGTATGAAATGGCTTAATTGGTAGAGAATTTGTCTTCGGGCTTAATGGCCGTGGGTCCGGACCCCCCACGAGAACTACTCCATTGATTTGCACTGATGGCTGCTGTCATTGTGTCCTTAGGCAAGACACTTAACCCCACTATGCCAACCTTAATCCTAACCCTAACCCTAACAAAGAAAATGAAGAATGAATGTATGAATAATAAAAGTGGTCCATGTTGGATTCATATTATCACAAGTTGTTGCTAGCGTATCAATATCATTTTCTTGCAAGGAGGAATGAACTACCCAGAATCAAATTATTATTACAAAACACGCAGTACACACTTTGCATATGAGTTTACGTGTGAAACATATGTTTTTACTTTTTTGTATTTGTATTTATTTATTTTTTCCGTATGTTTTTTCTTTTTTTTATCCCCCATCTCCTCCTGTTCCCCCCCAATGATAAAACACAATAAATATCTCAGTCATAAAATAACAAAACACGCAGTACACACTCACCCCTCTCTTTGCGCCTCTCCCTTCTCCAGCTCCTGGATGACTCCCAGCAGCACCTTGATGGTCTCCTGGCTCGAGTTGATGAGCGTCTCCATGGCCTGCAGCTGTGCTTTGATTTCACTGTCCCCGCTCGCCGTCCCAGAAGTCTCCCCACGGGCCGCCCCTCTCTCTGCCGGAGGAAACCCTGTGCCTCCGCCCTGTCCTGTCTGCTGCAGTTTAGAGGATGCCGAAGAGTGCCGTGTCCTGTAATTCCCCTGCGATTGCACAGAACACTTGCCACTGTGCGGAAGTGTCTGAGAATGCTGTTCGCTTAGCTGTCCGCTCTTTTTCCTCTTGCAGCTCACAGACGGGCTTCCTAAAGATTCCACATGTGTCAAGGAATTCCACGCAACAGGTCCAGAACCCTTGATCTTGCTGTCGGAAGCAAGTTGACGCTTGGTGGACAAAGAACCAGCATCCGTATCGTCCTTGCCTTTGTGTTTGGCTCTTGTTGTCGTTGGAACGTGGCTTTCCGATTGGGTTTTAGATGGCGGGCTGCGTGGATGGCTCTCCTCCGGAAATTGTGAAGATTCCGGACACGATGGGCCATCCAGGCAGTTGGCACTAGAAAGGAGATCCTCGGTGTCGCTGCTGTCGTCTGTGTGGTGTAGCAATGCTTTAGTCTGACAGACAATCTTTCCTTTGACTTTTGAAGATTGCACACTTGTTTGTCCATCCTCAACTGTTTTAATATCACTCAGAAATCCATTATTCTGTCCTTTGTAATTCTCCACCAAAGCAGTATGTTTAAAAGTATGACCTTTTTTCCTTTCAAATGGAAAAGTCTTGTATCTTTTGGTAAGGTCTGGTGACGTCTGCACACCAGTACTTTTAGTCACATTGGGAATAGAACGTCTGGCAGGCATGGTCATATATTTCCTTTGTCTCACTTTGCAAGAAATTGAGCGAGAACGCCTTCGCCGATGTTCATTCTGGGCTTCGCAGATGTCCTTGAATCGAACTTGTAAAGCCTTGTTCCTCTTCTTCACCTGTCCTTTGCCAGATTCGGTTCCGGACTCTGCGTTGAAGCTGTGCGACTGGGCTGTCTCGCAATCGGACTCATCTGAATACGACACCACGTAGCATTGGGTGTCCTCCTTGCTCACCATATTTCCTGTGAAAAGAGAAAAACAATAAGAACAGATGAAATGGTATTGAATGAGTTTGTTGGAACAGTTGACACAAGTTTGAAGTAATTTTGCTGACTTGATTTAGATTCTGTGCGATAACAAACTCTCACAGCAATCTGATGGAGTATAAAATTAGTCACTTTTCATGCTGAATTTTTGTAAGATATGATGCTGATGATAAAAACAGCTAATCTAATCCGGATTGACTCAAAAATAATAATAATAACAATGACTTTTTTTTATGATACTCAAAGACACTTTACATGTCATTAATCCTTCACTCCATACACAGTGGTGATAGATTAGCCATCGATCATTCACACACACACCAGACTTATTCAAGGCAATGTGGGTGGAGTGTCGCGCCGAAGAACACCACAACAGTTTGGAACTTTACAGCTGCAGCCGCCCCACTGTGGCACCTGGTCCCATCGCAGTACTAACCAGAACCTGCCCTGCTTTGCCTAATGAGGTTTGTTGGGATTTGGCTTTCACATGCAAGTATTGTCACAAAACTTCTGTGTTCAACATGATAAAAGTCAAATATTCGCATCAACATATATTGAATTAACATAGGGAAGAGGGGTAAGATTTAATAAGCTTTGGCTTCTTCCTACTCCTTTTGAACGTGAATAAGTTTTCTTTATTTTCTTTGTTTTGTTCTTACTTTCTTTTTTTCTTTTACATTTATTCGATGTTCAAATAAACACAATAAATAAATAAATAAAAAATAAATCAACGGTAATAGTTGTAGAGTATTGTATATTGTAGTCTGAGATGATGAAAAGTATTAGGAACATCCATCCAACCATACTTTCTTTTGCGTTATCCGTTTCTGGGTTTCCGCTGTCAAAGCAGAGACGCCCGGAGTTACCGCTCCATGCACACTTCCTCCAGCTCATTCGGCAAATACAGTATTATCCAAATTAACATACTGCTTCTACATTAATACGGGTGCAGTGGTGACCGAGCATCACTGCACTACGTCAGCGGCTCACAGATGAGCGTGGGCAAAGGGCTCTGGAACAGCTGTCTGCCTTTCGCTCGGCCTGCATTGACCTTTGATTTGACAGATTCATAATGTACTCAATCTAGAACAGTTCAACTGAAGCAGTTTGGGAGTGCTTTAGAAAAAACACACAGAACAAGTATGAAACAAAAGGATGCACATTTGTCATTCATAAAAAAAAAATGTAATCTCATTCCACTGGACATTGAAGAAATCAACACACTACAACATTACAGCTTCCAGACTGACCTCTTTGGAAAACACATTTAAACATTCTGGGTTTCTTAGAATGGAAACTAGAAAAGTGACCTCACACCAAGTAGTTTGTGACTATGATTCCCTGACCAGGCGATAGTGGCCCTAAACCTAAAAAATATGAAATTGTTTTGCAGTTGTGGATGATGGAAGAACAGGCGTGTGATTGTTGATTATTTTTACAGTAAGGGACTATATATATATATATTTTTTAAATTATTATACATTTGCATATACACTAAAAAAAATATTCTGAAAATGTATTCTGAAAACATATAAATAATCTTGAAATACAAAATGATACAAAATCAATTTTTTTGACACTTTGAACCATGTAAAAAAATTGTTCCCAGTTCAATCAACAGTTTTCTGCCTTTAAAAAAAAGTTTTGCGCATAAATTGGTGTTGCAATTTCTCAAGTTAAATTATATTCTTTACGATCGCATGTCTGTGTTTGCAGCCGGTAATTCTCAAATCTTTGTGAAAAAAACGGATCCTACACCTCCTACCTCCTACTGGAGGTAGCATAGAGAGTTACAGACACGAATGCAGACTTTTATATTACTTATACTGCACACCACTTATACATTACTTATATACCTATATTTTCTGCAAAAAAATCATTTGAAAACATGAATTGTCAACGTACATAGCATCATTATCATTTTTATCAGGCAAAAATAATTATTTTGCCTCTTTAATTTCAATTCATCACCTACTTATTCCCCCTATTTTTGTGAACCATAGAACACAGAGAACTGTAATTGCCTACACACAGTGTTAAAAACCAGAGGCATTGAATAACAGTTGGGATCATTGAAGTGGTGAACAACAAAGCAATGCTACACGGGCTGTAGAGAAATGCAAACCAGCCCATAGCACCATCAATAATGAGGGGACTCCGTGCTGTGATCTCACACTAGGGCGCACTGTCATTCTGCCACTTCAAGTAGGACGACCCAAACGCCGTATTTCCGCTGACGAGAAGCATTGCAATCTCGTGTGCTGCTTTTGGAAAGGAAAGCAGAGAGAGAAAAGGCAATAGAAATATGTCGAGAGCACTTTATAAAGCACGTCCTCTGCTCGCTAATGCCTTTGAGCCGTGTGTGCGTATAGACGGGCATCAGAGAGAAGAAAAAAGACTTTATCTATTAACCCATACTTGATGCAGGACCCTACACTGCAAATAGAGGTACAATATGAGGTAATAAATGGTTAAATCAAGTGGATGTTATATTCATTTGATTCAATTCTGACTGTCTAAACCCTTTAATGGTTTCCTCAACCATTTGGTAGGTCATCTTTTGAGTCACTATATCTACTTGGAACTGGAATCTACCTCTTTGGGGCATCTCACTTGTTTTTTTGTCACTGCTATTGTGAGATTTCATAACACTTTGAAGCAACTTTTGTTAAAGTTAAACTCATCATTCTATCAATGTGCAGAAGCCAGTACTTTCCCTTGTTTTGTCTATCTGAAGGCCAAGTTACATGGCATCGTGGAAGCTGCTGATTGGAGGTCTCCATGTCTCCGCTCTGTATAATACACTTGCATTCTATTGTTTCTGTGATCGTGTGCTTTGTTCGTGCTGTCTCTACCATCGACAATAAAACATGTCTTCTGTCTGAATTAAAGACACGATCCCAGACTTGGCACATCCTCTTCACTATCATCAACCATTTGGTAAAGGCCTATAATAAATAAGTAAAACTTGGGGTTAAAAAAACAAATAAAATACATCTCAGAAAATCAAAAAAAGGAAAAAAAAATACATTGCTTTTGTCAAGGAGTGAACATTAAAGGGTTAAAACAAGATTTGCCAATGGGACAAAGCTATTTCGTCTATTTTCAAGAACTGTTGCATTTTTTTTCTCATACCAAGGGACATATTTCTTAAATCTTTTTAAAACAAGATGCTTTTGCTTGTCCCATTGGAAAAATCTTGTTTTAAGGCAGTCACAATGTGCTCAAATTAAGATATATTTAGTCAAATTTGAGCCATTTTTAACTTACTTTTCTACAGTTTTTGCAGTTTATACCCCCTCTACAATATGCGCCAAACATGAAGGCTGACTAATGTCTCTTTGAGGGCTGTGTGGAGTGTCGTGGTACATTTCTTGATGACAAATGCGTTTCCAGAGTGCTGCTTGTTTTGTCTTGAACATCTTGGCCTGGATAACAAGAAGCACTTTGCACTGACACATCTACCCCTTATATCTCAACTGTAACAATGTCTCTGCCACAACTGTTGAAGTCCACACTCTCTTTTGAGGGGGTCAAGTCAAAGAGTAAGAGAAATCAAATAGTTCAAACCCTTTGAGTCGAGTCCTGTCACAGTTTTAGTGCTACGGTAATGCGATTTGGTTCAATACAAATCAGAATGACTTTATGTGACAGTGTTTTAGTCTGGACAGTCAACACATGTTAACTATACTGATGACATGCTAATTTACTATTTATTTACGGGCGGCACGGTGGCTGAGTGGATAGCACTCTCGCCTCTCAGCAAGAAGGTCCTGGGTTCGAATCCCGGTTGGACCAGGGCCTTTCTGAGTGGAGTTTGCATGTTCTCCCTGTGTCTGCTTCGGTTTCCTCCGGGTGCTCCGGTTTCCCCTACCACTAAAAATATGTACAATAGGTCTGGCATGTGCCTCCTGTACTGGCACCCCCACTCCCAAAAAATAGCAATTGTAAACCGCTTTGAGACTCCGATGTGCAGTGAAAAGGCGGTATATAAATAAAAGCTTACTTACTTACTACTTACTTACCCGATCAACAAACATAATGCCCATTTAAAAAAATATAGCATTAAGGATTAAGGATAATGATTTCTATAGAATCAGAAAAAAGGTACATTTTCTAATACAGTATGCATTTTGTAACAGGATACACGGGCAGGGCTGTCACACTCTTTTTGGTCGGGGTTGGATTGAAAAAGATAATACCTAATCTATCCCTGGGGCTGAAACTTAATTTTTTTCTGTAAATTTTTCCTCAAGGTCAAACAACCACAACATGGAGAGACATCAGCGCCTTGCACTGATGCGTCAGGATCCATGGGTTACATAAATATCCGCCCCCATTCAACTTTGCTTAGCCTGGCCTTAGCCATCCGTACACTCCCGTCAATCATCATTTCCCTGCATGTTTGCGATTGTTTGCGATTATAATCGGTTGTATTACATCCGACCAATCAGCGAGCGCGGAAGGCAGGTGTTGTAGTTAGTTGTGGGTGATGTCAAGAGATTGCGTCGAACGGGCAGGTTGTAGTTTGGCAATGGCGAAGAATGCGATAGTAAAGTAATCCGGTCTGGTTCTATCAAGAAATTGAAGCAGGAGCAAGAGGAATGTTTAGCAAATGTAATCGCTGGTCAAGATTGTGACGCAACTCCCCATGGCCTCCGTTAGCGACAAAGGAGATGGCTAGGCTAAATGCTAAATGCTAACAACAGACTCGGGCGCATTACATACGTCACGGTAAACTCAGATCCAATCGTTTCAATCTGCAAAAGGAGTTAACCCCTCCTACCTGTAAACGGAGCTCAATGGAGCACCTCCAGACCTTAGTACGAAGTGTAATTTGTACTATGGTGTGGTACCACCAGGCTAACTTTGTTAGGACCACAAACGTCAATATGTTTGATTTAAAGTTAATGTGAAAGACCCACGTTAATGAAAGGATGTAGAATTTTTTCATGAATAAAACACTGAAAA